CTCCATTAAATGAATCTCAACATGGAAATTTTACAAAATAGAAAGAAAAATCTAATTGTATTTGATTGTAAAAGTACAAAAAAAAAGAACAAAAGATTATTTAAAATTAAAGACTTTAAGATATCTATATAATACTTATTCTTACTAGGTTTATAAGTATTAATAATTTGGTTTAATTTTTTTAGCTACTATTTTAAAATTCTCAAAACTATAATAGATTTATAAAAAAAAAATTATACAAGAGAATTTAAAATATTAAGTGTAGTTTCTCCTGTTTTTATTTATAAAATTTTAAATATTATTAAGTAAAATAATAACAATGACACCTATCGAATTATCCAACTTTGATATACACATACTTTGATATAGAGAAGGGTTTCCTTGATAAAATTTTGGTATTTTGTTTTGTTTGCTAGTCTTCTAAAATTTCAGTTTCAATATACCTCTTCCTAATCCTTTAGGCTAGGATAAGCAAATCTCTTATTTGACTAGTTAAAGCATTTCAACAAACACTTGGTATGCATAAGTGAAGCTTATATTCTAAATCAACTTAGCAAAAGCTAATCTAGCATTAAGTACATCAATAAGAAATAAAATGGAAGAATTAACACTAAGACAACATCAATCAAGCATAAACTCATAATCTATCTCATCTTAAACCCAAACAAGGAACCACTCACTAAACCAGGTTTTAACCACAAGCTCAAAGAAGGTAATATGGTTAAATATGATTAGAGAAAAAGAGAAACACAAACTTCAATTAAACAAACAAAGATTCAATACAAAATTCTTACAGAACCAAAAAAAGAAAATATTTTAAGAGCTAGAACAAGGAGTAAGAGATAGGTAGATAAAAGAAGCTCAGAAATTAGGTCTTTTACATATTTATAGTGTCTTTGGGAGATCCTAGGATGCAGGGGGATTTTTGTAATTTTGCAGTTTCTCGGATGCTGATGTTGTTGCTCGATGCTTCATGTCCTGTTTCGGAACATCGGGCAGTCTTGCCCGATGTCGGTTGCCGATGTTGCAGCTTGTCTTGCGTAGGTTTTCACATCGGGCAGATGTGCTTGATGTTCCAGCATGGGCCAGCCCGATGCTCCAGCTTGTGTCTGTGGCTTTTCACATCGGGCACAGAGCTCGATGTCTTCAGAGCGGTCTCACGAAATTTGCTGTAACTCTTGATCCTTCGTCTGAGCTGGTCTTTCTGTTGTTGTTTCTGGCCACTTCAACAAGATACATCTTCTCCTTTGGCTTTTAAATACCTTGGCTTGCATCCATGATTATCTCCCATGCTCCTTATAGTCTCCAACCATACCAAAAGCACCTGCCAAACACTCCAAATGCACCAAACATGCAATGTCTATCCTAAATGCATACTAAACCTAAAAGGGAATAAAAATGGGACAAAGATGAAGAAATGATGCATGAAAAAGACTAGTTTCTACACTAAATGCATGCTTAGATGGTATAAATATAAGGTATATCAGGGATGAAGGAGCGAGTTAAGGCTAGTCTAGGAATCTCCAACGTAGGAGGGGTTGGCAAATATCTAGGCCTACCTGAACATTTTGGAAGAAAGAAGAAAGATATGTTCAGCATGATTGTAGATCAAATAAAGCAAAGAGTAGTTAGTTTTTCAGCAAAGTTCTTATCAAACGCAGGGAAGATTATGCTCCTACAGTCAGTGCTCTCAGCCATGCCTAAATATACTATGTCATGCTTTAAACTCTTGGATTCCCTGTGCATAAGAATTCAAACAGTACTCGCTATGTTTTGGTGGGACTCAAATCCGGACAAGAGAAAAATGTGTTCGTCTCATGGAAGAGACTAAACTAATCAAAGAGTCAAATGGGACTTGACTTCCGTGACATCACTTCTTTTAATGACGCCTTATTGGGTAAGCTGAACTGGAAAATCTTGCAAAATCCCCCTGGTCTCCTGACAAGGATCCTTCAATGTAAATACTATCACTCAAACTCTCTCCTAGAGTGTGCAATACCAAAGAGCTCATCCCACAAATGGAGAGGAGTTCTAATCGGAAGAGACCTCCTAAAGAAGAAGTTGGGATTTGCAATTGGAAACGGTGCCTCGGCAATGGTTTTGAACTTCCTTAGCTCTCACTTCAGCTCCCTTACCCCGATGGGCCCAGCTCCTCTAGACAAACAATTTACGAGTCTCAGACCTCCTGCTCCAAGATGGTTTTAGATAGGACATACAAAATATAATAGCATCAGTACCCATCCATGAAATAGAAATTTTATGACTACATCAAAGTACCACGAGAGTTCCCGATAGATACATATGGTTACCTACTGAAACAGGAGTCTACACTGCAAAAATTGGATACTATGAAACCTTAAAGAATTCTAACTTGGAACCGATCCTCACTGGAAATATCGCAAGTTTCAACTGGAACTCAGCGGTATGGCCTTAAAATCCTCATATGGAGAGCGGTACAAGAAGCCTTACTAGTGGGTGAAAACCTCTAAGAAGGATCCCAGACACTTTCTTTGAATGCCCCATTGCACTGAATCGAAATGACCACCCACATGCTATTCTGTTGGTACTTTGCTGGGAAAGTCTGGAGCCAAGCACCTTTCAATCAACCAATTGATCCGAAGGAAATTGAAAATCTAAAAATAAGATTGAGTTTAGCTCGTGATTGGGTCTGTCTACCTCCGATCGGAATCAACGCAGCCTCGCTCTTCCCCTGGATCTGTTGGCCGGTCTGGTGCACTCGCAACCAACGCAATTTCAGCAATATATGCATATATGCAGAAGAAACCCTGTCAAAGGCAATTTGTGAAACACGAGAATGACAATCAGCTCAAGTCCTCCAAGGACAGTTACAAGCAACTAATCAGGCGAGAAAAGTTCATGAGAATTGCCAGAAAGTTACTGCCAATGCTATAATTGAATATACAGACATGGAGATTAACCTCGAATCTGCTAGGTTTGACTCGATCTTAAAGCACCATTAGTAGCCACAAGTGTATGGGATCCTCCGTGCAACGCCAAGTTGGATCTCCCCTCCAAGCGGAAGCATTAGCCATGAGAACAGTAATTAGACATGTGCTGGCTCTAAATCACAGGAAACTCTTTATAAGATCCAATTCTCTGAAGCTCATCAAAACGTTAAGGGATGAAGAATCATTGAAGGAAATTCATGGTATCTTTCAAGATATCAAAAATTTATTTCTATCTTTCTTTGAATTTGCTGTTGAATTTGTACGGAAAAAGCAAAATATAGAAACTGGCTCTTTGGCGAAAAGTGTCTTTCTCAATTGTACCGTAAACTCAAGTTTAAACTTTTATTTGATATAAAATTAAGTATTTACAAGAACAACAAAACATCTAAATCTAGAAATTGAAAAAAGAAAATCTGAAATAATCAGAATCTTCAAAATAACAAAAATATTACAATGTTTTTACTCTTTTTTTTTTATCTGAAATTCTTTTAAAAACTAAAAAAAAACTTTGACAATGTACAAAGATATCAAAGGAGTCTCGGACATATGAGGAAACAGAGCAGGCAGACATAAAGAACAATCCCTTTAAGCATAGCCAAAAAGAGAAAAACAAATAATAAAAAACCAAATAATAATAAAAAGGCAGGCATAAACTATCAAGCGACCCTGTAAGCTAGAGAAACGATAATAAAAAATAATATGGGACAAACCGAACAAAAGAAGGTGGACAGAATTATCACAAAAGCTACAACATGAGGCTATGAATTAACCCTCGTTCGGCAGAAGGTAACTAGCGAAGCCAGGAGTGCAATTTAAACCACCATAACTTCAGCAAAATTATCAAAAACGGAAAATCCAAAGCAAGATGGGAGAGAGACAACTTCGAAGAATCTGTTTTGGCGATGATCTATCTATATTTTGTGGGGTTGACTTGTTTAGTTTTGGAGGCATTTTTTTATTAGTTTCTTGAATCATTAACCAAAAAGTCTCAAAGTGTTTTCGATAGTGCTTATGCAATATAGAAAGTAATGATTGAGTATTGTTATAAGGGAGAAGGGAGAAGGGACATAGACAACTTCAGTTCTCATGGAGAAGCCTCTGTTTTCGACAGTGCTTTTGCAATATAGAGAGTAGTGATTGAGTATTGTCAGATTTGGTTTATGCTTTTCTTTTATGACTTTGATGACCAATTGTTCATGTGCCATTTTTTGTTTCTAGCACATGAACAATGGGATCCCCATGAACAATTGTCCAAGACCTTGATAATGGTTTATTTTGTGTCACATATTCCCACATACACTACTTGTCCTCCTAATTTTGTATCTCTTTCCAAAAGATTCATTTTGATTTCCTCACAACATGCCTCATCCACCTGAAACTCGGCGGAGGATCAATTAATAACTTATTATTATTTTTGTATGATAGTATGAGAATTGTCAATGGTTAAAACACTTTTGTGGAACATGATTATATATAAACACTTAAACTATGTGTAATCATAGTTGGTGACAAAAGAAGGAATAATAATTACAATGATAGTATTGATCAAGAATCAGTTGTCATTGCTACAATGTTTGTTATAACAATCATTTGTAACAATTTTATATTCACATTTTTTGACAAATATAATTAGTCAATAATATAGAGCAATTATCTAATTTATGACAATTTGCTATTAGTCTTTGTCTAGGAAAACTCAAAATTCACTGTGGCTCTAACTATGTTTACGGACTTCACTAATTCATCTTAGTTAGAAATAGAAAGAATTTCTTTTATTTTAACGTACGTTAGTGTTAGATGTGACAGTGATTGTAGAAGCGTAACTCTCCCACTACGTAGAAGTTGAACCAAACATGTGAACTGTTTCTGATCAAATAAGGTATGACATGAGGCATGAGCTATACCGACTAAAGTGCGTATACCTATACCGACAAAAACTCAAAAACTCACATTCATTACCCAAATCTTCTCATTGCCCAAATCTTCACAACGTATACAGAGAAATAATGTTTTGGTAAAACAACGAAACTAGTGTAGTGTAGGATAAGCCCATAGTCCTGGTCCTCCAGGAATGGCTTCATCATCTGAATCACTGTCATCAGACGAACTATATGTCCCCAGCAAATAGTTAACAACCTAGTTAAGAGACAAAACCACACAAAAACCAGATAGATAACTTGCCCTACAAGTACCAAAAAAAAACACGAGAAAACAGGAAAAACGCTTTACCCGTTGAGTCGACATGGGGTCGAGTGGCTCGTTGCCAAATTTCATCAACCGACATTGTTTCTTCGAACATTTCAGGTTGTCGTGCCAAACAATGGAGTCACAGTTATCGCAGTAACCTCGACCAGATCTTATAAACTTTGATGACTTATCCTCTGCACGGTCACACAAAAGTACACATATGTACTTTAAGAAATGCGATTTTTTGGAAAGAGAGAAGACAAAACAAAGCGCCCTTACCGATACAAGCCTGCCTAAAGGCTTCTCTGTAGTCAGTATCGGACTGATTAAGGATCACGAATTTGTGATAGAAGTGAAGTTCAAACTGTGATCGCCACAGAGAGTCCTCATGCGTTGCTTGGTTCCATGAGCTACAAAACAAAACAGATAAGTAGAAGGAAAGACAAAGAAAGTAGCCTAGGTTAAAGACTCTACAATGTGGAAGTACCGAGACACTTGAGATGCGGAAAGTAAGGCCGATGCATCGAGGAAACTGAAGATGTGAATAAGGATATCTTGTGGAAGTGAAGGTAAATCTGTAAAAAAAGAAAGAAAAAAATTGGATTCACAACTAGTGAAGGATTATCTCAGGCTATTAGATCAAGAGATTTTTCAAGAATTTTAACACTACCTATATCTTCCTCATGGCTTTTACTGCGTCTCTTGAGTGCTACTTTTGTCTTCTTGAATTCTACAATGGCTAAGTTCTTCTTCTGTTTGGGGAACTCGGCTTCCACGCTCCTCAGGAGAAGTTTAGCGGCTGAAACAGCAGCTGATGTGTTCACACTAGATAGAAAGAAGAAAAGATACAGAATCTGAAACTGTTAGTAGTATTAGTGTCTTTACTAGACTTGAGAAGATGAAACATAGATTTCTTGAAACTGCAAAATAAATCAAGAATCTCAGAAATTTTGTGCTATAAGAATAATGTGTTCAATTGTTCAAATTGAAAAAACTTTCCTTTACGTTTACATTACCAAACTCTCGTATTTATATATTCAAGAAAACAGAACATTGTAGCTTTTTTTTCTTCCGAAATTGACAAAGCAAATGAGAAACGCAAACGATAACGCAAAGAATTAGTGAAGCCCATTTATCTATTGGCATGAAATAAAGCCATTCGAAGAACCAATCTGAGAAAGTTTCAAACTTTATTTTGAGTTTTCATGGGTTTTCAACCGATAAAGGAACCATAAGATTAAAATTATACAAACACAAATAACCAAGCTATTCGATTCAAAGATGAAATCACTAGAAGTCTAGACTCAATTCTCTGTTTCATGGTTGGCTGAAAGTTCACAACTTTGCTATTTGATTTTTCTCAGGATTTTTCATAAACGGATGATGCAGCAGCCATTAAATTACTAACCCTAAAAATTAAGCTACAACAGTGGAACAAAATCTCAATCCACAACATCCCAAATCTTCTCAAATCATAGTCTGTAAGAAGCGATTACATCAAATAAACCTTAGAAGCAATTGATTCGATCATCGTAGAGCCCTAAATACCTCAATAGAGTTTCAATCAAATAGAATTTCGAACTTTAAAAGAAAAAAGCTTACTCGGGAAGAAGACGAAAAGCCGAGAGGGTATCTCGAAAGATCAAAGCTTTGAGATCTTTGGGTGATCGAGAATAACCCTGTTTAATAATTGAGCTCAGTTCATTGCAAGCAAATGGGTACAGATGATTATTCGAGAGGGCTTCTCCTACCATTAGATTTTGGTATCTCATTATTTTGAGATCAGACATCGTCGACGTTTGATCTATCCGAGCATGTCTGTCTATGTTCTGTGTTTTTTTTTTTTTTCTTCCTGATGAAAAATTGGTAAACCTGAATCGATACAGTATAAATTGGTTCCATCTAATTTATGGAAATAATGTGAACGCATGGAAATTTTCATAACCCAAATTAATTTTTACAATTTGCAAACAGCGGGTAATTTTAATGACTTAAAATATTCATATTGATCAATTATGAAAATTCAGTATTATCATATATTCATTTTCTATAAAATAATTTTTAAAAACCTTATTTTTGACAACAAAAACTAATAACATAAAAAAACCATAAAAATAACAAAAAAACATTTCTGAGTTAAAAAAAAAATAATTTTATAACATAAATTAATTGTACAACAAAAATTAATTCTACAATAGAAAGTGACTAGAATTAATATTTTATAGCCAAAAATCTTAGCAAGACAGGTTTTGATATACTGATATATCATCTCCATCTCTATCTACTACCAATGGTGGAAATGAGAGATTCTTAGGCAAAGCATCGTTAGGGCGTGCACAATCTGAAACAAGATCACATTATGGAAATAATAATAATTCAAACTGTTTCTGGAGAGGTTATAACACCTTTTGAGGAGAACTTTCATTATCTTCAATTCATAGGGCGTGCAACCATGCAGCACAATCTGAATCAAGATCAAAACATAACGCACTGGATGGTTTTTTTATAAAGAAACAAGATCTATGCTGATTTGAAATGAAGAATAAAAAGATATGAAACACTTAGAGTTTGGCTATTGAATCTACCAAAATAAGCAAGGCGTTTCACAATGTTGTCTTTCAAATCTTCAGTGATGGTCTTACAGCGAAGTGAGTCGTAAGGAGACGCAGAGTTTGGAACCTACGAACTTTGTGTTTCATTTCTGAAAAAACAGTGATTTTTTGTTGTTGAAGAACTTTCAGATGATCCAATGAAGCAATATTATCCACTAATAGAATATCAGGATGTCATTTTGCTATAGATTCATAATCATCCTGTTAAATGTTAATGAAGAAAATTAGAAAAATTTCTCATATTAATGAAGAGAAAAATTCAACAGAAAGTGACTAGAATTAATATCGTATAATGAAAAATCTTACTAAGGTAGGTTTTGTTGTTTGAGTTCAAGGACTCGAAGTATTGGAGACCAAAATCATTAAAGTGGGATACTTATTTGTTGATTTACTTGACAATAAACTTTTGATTCGTTGTTTTTGAGAAAATTGTTTTGCTCTTTCCACTTTTGTCCCAATACTACACTTACTTAGTGAAGTGATATACTCTTGCTCTGACCAATACTGTTTGACCCATTGACAATCTCTTCAAAAATGTTGGCATTTGACAATCCCAACAGAAATTTACTTTATTGTGTAATGCTTATGCAATATAATTTGCAAATTCATTTTTTCAAAATAATATTAGCATTGGCTTTTGACCAATTAGAATGATTGATTTTGCCATTGACTCAAGATTCTTCTTCTAGTTGTATGGCACCAGGTAGTCTATGATTTCATAGACCACTTTATATCTCTTTTTGTCCACGGCAAGAAAAAATGAGTAGTCTACGATGTTAAGACTGTCGGGTAGACTTCCTTTGAGACCATAAAACGTAAGTGTAGAGATATTAATGTTGCAAATCAGATTTTACATAACCATGAGATGCTTTGGCAGGTCCAAACTCACTTGCAATTGAACACATGAAAATAACATAAAATTACTGATGTAGATAGTTTAGAACTTGCCTAATTGTATATATGATTTGTAAGAATAGTTTCGTTTAGTAATGTTCTTGTATCAAAATTTAGTGTTTATTAATCACTTGCAATTTGGACCCCCAAAAAAGAAGAAATAGAAATAATGAGGGTAAATAAATTTGGAGACAAAAACGTTTTATGTTACATATTTTCATGTTAAAATTTGAGACATAGAGTTAAAGCAGAGGAGGCAAAGTTTGAGACTCACTTCTCGTATAGCTCCTTGATAAGTGTTTCTTGTTCTTTGCTCAAGGGACTCGCTCTTTTTTCTGGTGTTTCTGTTTCAAATGCAGTAGAAGCGAGTCATTAGATCCAAAACAAAATATGTTAGGTTCGGAAATTTTTCAAACTCTAAGATATACTCTCGAAGGTTGCTGGTCTGATCTGGATCATCATTTCCATTGTTGCCTTCACTTGCTTCCAGAGAGTTATCACCACGCCGAGGTCTTTTCCTTGTATATAGACCTAGCTGTTTAAGCTTGTTGGTCACTTGTGCAGAAGAAATTTCACCATCAGGATCCAAAGTTTCGGCAATAAGCCGGCTGCAATTCTTATCATCTTTGAACCTGCAAAAATTTCATTATAAGCAACCAATTGATTCAAACTGTAAAGTACCATAGCTCATGTAAAATTCTGAGTTTTTCAACTTCCTTATGAAATATAAACCTTGCATAATGAATTTGGTACTTCCTTCAGTAATTACTGGAGCTCTCAGTTCATTTCAAGCAAATGGGTAAAGATGTTTATTGTCTATTAGATTTTTTTTTCCATCTTAAAATTATTATCAAACCGAGATCGGTACAGTATAAATTGGTTCCATCCAATTTATGGAAATAATAATGTGAACGTATGGAAATTTTCACAACCCAAGTTAAATAATTTTCACAGTTTGCAAACAGCGGGTAATTTTATTACTTAAAATATTCATATTGGTCAATTATGATTAAAATTCAGTATTATCATATATACATTTTCTATAAAATAATTTTAAAAAACCTTTAAGATACTACATTTTTGACAATAAATATTATAAAAAAGGCCGTAAAAATAACCTAAAAAAACAAACTAATGAAATTTACATTTATGCAATGTTAAATCAAATTCTAATTTAACATTTTTTAATTAAATAAAAAATAATTCTTCGCACATTTAGAAAAACCTCCGTTCACATTAATCGTTGTGTAAAAGGTGTACTGAAATCGGTAAATTAAACTGAGTTCCTAATTCCTAAATCTCAAAAAAATATTTCACTCTACTTGTTTTATCAAATTTATAAAAAAATCTAAACATCTACAAGCAAATACCAAGCAAGCAAGTATTCACAATGACATAAATATGAACATAAAAAACAAATCACAGTTTTGAGTAAAAATTCTAAGAATCAAAAAAAAAAAAAAAAAAAGAGAAGAAAATGGATCTAAAAAGTTATCTAAAAAATGGAATGGCCTAAAAATGACTCTTTGTTTTGATGTGCCAAAGACCAAACTGATCTGTTTGATATCTTGTGCCCAAGAAACACACATGCACTGATCCTCCTTCTCCATACAACTCGTTCCATTGCTTCAGCTCATTCATCCCTGAACCTTCTGATGCAAAACTTGCAGCTACCTGCAAAACCACAACAACAAGTTAGGTTTTTTTAATTTCCTTGTCTTTTCTTGTAACAATGAGATAAGATGCTTGACCTGGTTTTTAGCTTTTCTCATGTCTTCCATGTACAAAGGTCTTAAAGTAATGACTCTCTCCTCAGAAGCTTCTTCTTCTTTTTCTTCCTTATCCTTTGGTTCTTCCGTACTTTTTCCTGCTTCTTCTCTCTTCTTACTCTCCTAAATCACCAAAAATTTTTCAGAATTTGCAGAGAATTCGAGGGCAAGAGATGGTCTTTTAATAAGTATTGTACCTGATCTTTCAATCTTTCCTGTTGAATCAGCTCTCTTACTGGTCTATACGCAGCTGTTATGCATAGGTTCTGTTTGTACAAAAAATTATTAAACAGTCAGTTTTCCAAACTCCAATGGTTTTAAAAACCTTTTAAGTTATGTTAAAAGTTTTTTTTTGCTGACAAACCTTGAGATCACTTCCACTATAGCCTTCTGTCATCTGTCCAAGCTCATGGAAATCAAGATTCTCTGTTTTCTCTTTTGACAACAAAGTTCTCAAGATCTTCTCCCTACTCCCAATTGAAGGAAGTCCCACCATTATTCTGTAATTTCCAACACAAAACCCAAAAATCAGTCACAATTATAGTATTCATTAAGACTGAACAGACCAAAACTGTTTTTTACCTTCGCTCAAACCTCCTAATGATGGCTTCATCAAGATCAAACGGTCTGTTTGTCGCTGCAAGAACAAGAATCCTTTCACCGGTTTTCGTCATAAGTCCATCCCAATGCGTCATAAACTCATTATTGATCTTCCTCATAGCTTCATGCTCACCAACTCTAGTCCTTTGCCCCAACATACTATCAACTTCATCCACAAATATAATCGTTGGAGATACTTTAGCTGCTAAAGTAAACAGAGCTCTCACGTTCTTCTCGTCTTCTCCAAACCATTTCGAAGTGATTGTAGACATGGAGACGTTGATGAAACTAGCTCCAGCTTCATTTGCAATTGCCTTTGCAAGCATTGTTTTGCCAGTACCAGGTGGACCAAACAGAAGGATTCCTCTACATGGCTTGAGAAGTCCTCCTTTGAAAAGATCCGGTCTTCGAAGTGGGAGCATTACAAGTTCTTGAAGCGAATCTTTTGTTTCGTCTAAAGAGCCAATATCTGCAAACGTCACACCAATCTCATTTGCTGGTATAACCTCTGGTCTTATACGCTTCTCAAACTCATTATCAGGAACAACCTCAGGTGCCTTTGGAGGTAATGGATTGTCATTCTTGTTTGAAGGAAGAGATTTCTCCAACTCGTTCTTGTTTTCAGGAGCAGATGATTCGGATTTGGACTCGCTCTTTGAACATACTTCTCCTCCTTTTCGCTTAGAGTCAGTGTTTGTGTCTAGCTTCAATGAGTCATCAAATGATCTGCTTCCACCTTCTTGGAATATACTCAGTCCATGAGACAAGCTGTTGGAAGATCAAGAATCAGTTAGTTAGCTTGAAAAATCAGTTAGTAGTAGTACCTTGCGAATAAAGTAAACCACTTCTAGTACTAACCTTTTGGAAGATATAACAAGCTTTCCGTTTCTGTATTCAGGTTCTTTGGTGTGTATCAAATGATAAGAGATTGCAGAAACCACAATCTCCTCAATGTGGTTACTCAAACACATTGTATC